ACATTGTTGAAATTTCAGCGCATTTGTTAAATCGACACATGACACCTCTTACCTGTTGAACACTCCTCAGCACTTGTGTTACATGTCAGCGTTTTGAATTAGTGTATAAGCGCACCTGTGTACGACAGTTTCAGTCGTGTTTGACTTGCCTCGGGGTCTCAAACCAACACACCCAGTTTGACCCGACTCGAATAACAAGTCAATCTGCTGAAGAAAAAGCCATTAACAATTATTGCACTCAAATCTCCTCTAGTGCAAACATGCCTTTTCCATCTGAATTGACGTTAATCACTTTCTGAAATCATCTGGCAAGAACCTAAATGTAAATGGTGTTTAAGATCAACCTGACAAAAAAATTGCTCTTATTGCTTGCGATATAAAAATCTATAGATGAATGACCATGTTTGTAAACATTCAGGATGCATGCGCAGCGAGGATGCAGAAAAAAAAACAGGAGCGCTAGCATTTACAGCGAGAAAATGACATCCGATGCGGTATAGAGTTTGTTGTTGTATTAATGATAAGTTATATTGATTACATATTTTATCAATTATTTACCTAATGCTTTCAGGCGTATTATATTAGCTTGTCACCCAGAGATAAGCACAGTGATTCGGCAAAATTAACGTTAAAGTGAGCGGCGTTCGTCTGACAGGTCCATTTGCGATAGCACCCTAGCCTAGACGTTAAACCGAGGTCCTGACACTCTGTGGTCATTAAAAATCACCATATGGCAGCTGTCTGCCATATGTTTTCACACTATACCTGCCGATGATAATGCTATTGGCTAAGATGTTGACTTTTAGAACGCACAAATGAATTAGTCTCCATAGACCACTTTCTTTAAACATCTTCAGTTGTTTACACAAATAACATTAGACCTGTTTTTGAATTCGCCACAATGCTGACGCACAGGCATTTGTAGCTCCGCCCTCTTTTGAAAAGACCACAATCTCATTTGAATTTAAAGCGACAGTCACCAAAACTCCAGAATTAGGATCAAAGGGTCAGTTTCACAGAGTTATAAACATTATTTGTGTGGTATTTTGAGCTGAAACTTTACAAACACACACTCTATATGGACATCAGTAAAAAAAATAAAAAAGGCGAGGCATCTTGTAAAAGGAGGCATAATAAGTCTCTTTTAATGTAGGTAGCAAGCCAATGTAGCTCAGTTGGTTTTGGAGCAGAGCTGGCATGTCGGTTTCGATCGTGCAGATGTAGGCATGCTCCTGGTTTGTGGTTTGTAATTTCATTGTGAGCTGAAATAAATCTGGCTCAATGCAGAAGTGAAGTGTGTGTGGGCGCTCGACAGCCCCTCTGACTGGCCTTTGACCTACTTTCATTTCATTCTTGCTCTGTATATGTGTCAGTATGACAGTCGTATCCCACTTCAACTCTTTTCTCCTGTCATTAGGTTTACGCTAGCATTTTCAATGCTGAAGGCTTGCAGTGCATCTTATTTTGACATTTGATTATTCAATTTCTGTATTTGAATTCTTACCAAATGGAGCTTTTTTTTGTCATCTGGTGTTATTGTATTTATAGCGCAAAAAAAAAGTATATTACAAAATAATTAAATATCGCAATGACTGATTTTTCCAATATATAAATAAGCCCTACACTTAATTAAATAATGTACTCCCATCATTTTTGAATTGTAATATTAAGTGACAAGAATAACTAGAATATTATTCTAGAATACTAGAATATATAAATACAAGAATAACTAGTAAATATTTAATCTTTACATACTTATTTCAAGTAATAAATGGAAAGAGTTAAAGATTAATATTCATTTAAATTGTAAAAAATGCCGCGCTCCCCAAAATCCCTTCATGTTGTCACAATACAGATCAATTAAGTTAACATTTTTACTAATTTAAGTGGATTGAGCATACAACAATTAAGTTGTCCCAAAAACCCCTTAAGAATTGTGTTGATTCAGCTCATTTTAAATAAATAGTTTGAACAAGCAGCAAAATACATTGTTTGAGTGCACTGGTAATATTTAAATATTTTCTAATCAGTGCAAACTTAGTCATATTAAGTCAATTTTAATGGCAGATAAGTTGTAATGAAGGTGCAGTTCCCAGCATGCTTTGCAAGAGATTGAATTATTTTGAAAATAAAAGTAATCTTAGGTGTTTGAGTAGGAGAGAAAGGCTTGGTAGAGTTTATTCTTTGTTAGTTTGAAGATTAAGAAGAGTTTTGAGTAAGCTGAGTAAATAGCCATCGCTGTGCTAACGCTAACACTGAGAACAGTCAGGATCAGCGGATCAAAAGTTATTAAACATTTAAGAGCAATACTTATTTTTAGCCGCGGGCGGCTGTCTCGGTCTTAAGGGTTAAAACCGTTGATATGCAATTGTTCATGGTATGATAATCGTGCACGTTCAAATCGTGGTAGACCGTCATACCGGTATATTGTTACAACCCTATTTGCAACAGTCCTGCATGCAACACTTTTTACATTGTTTTTTGTGTAAAACAATTAAGTTCTCCCAAAAATACCCTCAAGAATTTAGATACAGCTCATTGTAAATAATTAAACAAGCAGCAAAAATATTTTTGAGTGTATTATTTGTTTAAATTGATGAAATCAATGTTCCTTCTTCTAATCACAAGAACTTGACATTAATTGATATTTAAATACAAATAGACTCAAATTATCAATAAAGATAATCAATTAACTTTTATTTAATCAATTTAGGAGTGTTAGGTTAAACATTAAATAAATCTGACATGATTTTGACAAGTTAATTGTACCTGATATATGATTTTTACTTGACTTGATTAATTTGAATGCAAATTGTTACGAAGATTTTTTTTTTAAAGGTCCAGTGAAAATAAAATCACGTTTTTTTTTTTTGGACGTTTGTATCATTATGTTAGTCTTCAAAGATATCTATAAGCTAGTGCGCTCTAAAACGATGACTAAATTTGCGGTTAGTAGATATAAAATTGATAAACATGCAGTCACTTTCGCTTAAATAAACAGTTTTATCCACATCACCTCATACTTCAGTTTCTCATCAAATCTTGACCAATCAAATGCTCTCTAGTATCTGACATGCTCCGCCCCCTTCTTATTTCCCTTCTTAATTGCTTTTCATTTGATGCGCTGGAGCTTGAACACTCACTGGCAGAGCGTTGAAAACAAAACGCTATTGGCTGCTCTTCAAAAAAGGGAGGAGCTACTCTATGTCCCGCCCCTCTTCATTTTTTAATTGAGATGGAATAAAAAATGCACATTTCAAAGCACTTCACTGAGTTATTTTTTCAGTGTAGTACGTGACCTTGATATTCTCCTCTGGTTCTCCTCTTGGCTTTGACCCAGTGGCTCTGTGTTGTTGGTTTTTCTTCCAGCTTGGCAGCTGTGTGTTGAAGGAATGCTCTCTCTCTCTCTTGCTCTCATTGTTTTATAGCTCTCCTCAGCGTCAGACTGGCCCCTTTCACAAACGTGGGATAATTAAATGTTTGGTTCTTTTTTAAACAGCGCTGCCATGCTCCACTCCTTCTCCTCAGGTCTGAGATTAATAAACAGCAGTGTTGTTTTTGAACGAAGGCGCACTTAGTGTTGTAACTCATTGAGGGACATAAACTGCAGAACCATTGTGTATAAACCGAGACGCTAAGACTCGGAATACTGACCTGAGCTCATAAACATGCATGCTGTCATTCATGCGTGATTGGTTATGGGATGAACTTTGTATTGGAGAACAATGGATCAAGTTATAAGGGCCTGTTCGGTGACGGTTATAATGTGTGAGAATGGTTGGCGTATAGTGAGGGCGTGCAATATTTATCATCTTCGATAATATGGTAATGGTTGTTTTAACGACGTGTGAGTTGACATTATCACTTATGTTA